TCACCAATATGGCGACATTTCCATTCTGTCGGTGATAACTTTGATGCTCTGAGCGCTTTTTTCCGTTCGCTCAGACACGATGCTTGGTCTTCCTGAACGTTGTTCCACACGACAATGGCCTTCTTTATTAAATTTATTGAAAATAGTATTAACCGTTTGATGATTAACCTGGAAAAACCTCGCAATTTCTTTATTTGACTTGCCACACTGATGCTATCCTATTATTTGCTCTTATTGAAATTCACCAATTTTCTTACTTCCTTTCATTGCAAAATATAAGTCAACTATTGTTCATAGAGGAGAGTAGCTTGATACTAACACGATATTGTCTTAAAAAAAGAGAGAGAAGAGACGTTATTAAACAAGCCAAAATTGCTGTAATCAAGGATGGCTAAAAACTTATCATAGTCCACTGTAATATAAAACCGGATCTTTCTTTTTTGTTATAATATAAAACCGAAACTTCGGGCACCTTGGCCTGGTTTAATGGCTAGCAAGCTTATCTCGTTAAAACAGTTACAAACTGAAGAGTGAGTTAAAACTAGGCTTGTGTCTAACTTTTTGTTGTAATATAAAATCGGACCTATGTCTATTTTTTCATTTTAATGTAAAACAGGATCTGCGTCTAACTTTTTCATTATAATATAAAAACTGAACCTTTGTCTAATTTATGGGTTGTAATTTAAAACTGGACCTTTGTCCAACTTTTTGTAATGTAAAATCGGACCTGGGTAGACTGTACATTTTTTACTCTAGTGTAAAAATGGATCCCTATCTTTCAGACTTTTGTGTAAAATCAGACCTTTGTCAACATTCTTTATTCTAATATAAAGCCGGAATTATAGTCTAAGTTATTGATTCAATTATAAAACCGGATCTATGTCAACTTTTTTGACGCTAGTGGAAATCCGTACCCGCCTTCTTTGTTTTTTTGTTTTTTTACTCAAAGTGTAAAATAAGGCCTTTGTCTATCTTTTTTACTTTAATGTAAAATCGAAGCGTTTTGTACCTTTTTGATTCTAGTATAACACTGCGCCCGTGTATAACTTATAAAACTGAATCTATGTTTATATTTTTGACACTATTTTAAAACCAGAACGGTGTCTACCTATTTGACTCTGGTGTAAATCTGTACGTGTGTTTATACTTTTTCTCTAGTATAAAATCTGACCTCAATCTGAACTTTATCTGACTTTTTGAGACTAATGTAAAACGGCATCAGTTTCTACATTTTTTACACTATTGTAAAACAGCAGGGTTAGGGTAATTAGGCCAGTGTAAAATAGTATCTTTGACAACCTTTTTGATTCTAGTATAAAACTGAACCAAGGTCTAACATTTTTGATTCTAGAATAAAACTGGACCTAGGTCTAACATTTTTGATTCTAGTATAAAACTGGACCTAGGTATAACATTTTGATTCTAATGTAAAACGGACCCATGTCTACCTTTTTTACTCTAGCATAAAACCAGGTCTTTGTCTTTGATGGTATCGTAAAACTTGACCTTTGTCTATCGGTTTGACTGGTGTAGAACTGGACCTACCCGTGTTTATCACTTTGACTCTAGTGAAAAATCGAACTTGTATCTGTATAGAGAATGTTTCCTGTGTGGAAACGGCTCTTTCCGCTATTCGTCATCGTCATTGGTCCTGTGACCGGTGTGGTTATAGAGAGGGTATGCATCTGAGCAGTTCCCTCTAATTATCAAGGTTGAAAGCCAGTGAGCTATTCATTCATGCATAGTGTGTTTTCGTTAAATAGACCTATCCCTCTTGGTCAAACGAAATTCACTGTCCTCCATCTTGGATGCTCACCTTGGTCACGGATGCTTGACCACTGGGGTAACCGTCTGCCACGGCCAGTAAGCTCAGATTTAGGAAACACGCTGCCCACCGATGACGTGTCATCATCCCACTGGCTGAATAAGTAGTTATGAAGTCCAGTCTGTCCCATTATGTTAGATGGGAGTTTGGGCCTACATGGAGATTAATTCGCTTTTTGACAAGTATTCTGCATAACCCTGCTAGGTGTCTCACCAGAAAAATCCTGGTATGGAAACCGGTTCAGTTTCTATAGGACACGATCATTTGGCAAGTAAAACTAATTTCACTGTTGATGAGAAACGCTTATTTGCACCTGCGACAGAATGCACAACGCAGACGACTGAAGAATTTCAGTCATCTTGCGTTTTTATGGGTCGACCCCACGGATGTCCCAGGCTGCTGGGGGCGGATTTTTTTTTTCAGGTCTTGACTATAGAACTCAGTCTATCTTGGGGGGTGGGTAGAAGAAACGGATTCATACATTCCCTAGGGTATTTGTATGACTCGAAATGGTTTGTAATTGGATCACTAATCAAAAGCCTTTTTGATCTAAAATTTTCGTCCATAAAGGCTGAAGCACCGAGTTCTACAACAAGTAGACTGGAGACGAAACGTGAAGAAGCCTATCTTCCCCTCTGACACTAGATTCTCTTCGGCCAGTAGAAGACATTGTGAAGACCCCGTTCATTGAAAAAAAAATCAGACACTGAACCAACTACCCAAATTGTGATAATCCCATACTGATTAGTATAAGTGTGTAGTAACGACCAAACTTCACACCGCGTATTTTTTTCTCTCCCACTTGGCGGCATTAACGTCTATTGAAAAGAACTGTCTTCTTTCAATAAGCAGCTGGTAGAAATTAACATTTTGTATTCTTTGTGAATTGTTTCAAAATCGTTTTAAAATTAATATTTTTGTTATTGGGGAGTTACTTGATTCTTTGAGTTGCTGACGCTTCTAGCAACTCAGAAGTTCCAGCCGAATTGTGTCATCTCCCTTCTGTGGATCTTTCAGACACAGCGTGTGCGCAGAAGGAGTTGGCAGAATAACTAGTCGGAAGTGCATGTGGTAGTCACAGAACTAAGACTACGCCTAGTACCGTGACTACCATAGGACCACTTTTGCGCGTAAGTGAATTTAACGAACACGGCTGAAATTCGAACTCGGCTCTACCGATTTTCGTTCCGAGTCGCTATCCATTACACCATTCTCCTGTAATCCGACTACCTGGAGGCTTCTCATAGTGATCAGTTTGAGAGTGTGTCTTCTGGTGTGCGTTCCATTAGGTCATGCTAGCTTCCGCACTAAACCCCGCTTCAATATGGTTAACAGCGGGTAGGTCTTGCTGACCAGGTTGATTAAGGACGACCGGCTCGGTGAATGACGAAAACGATACAGACGAAAGATTTCGTGTCTGCTAGCAATGGGATCGCGCTTGTGTTTGATTTCACTATTGCCATGTAGTAAATGTGTAGGTTATAAAAGCTATCCTTTCCATAAGTATTTTTCAACTGGTTATTGTTATTTTCAACTTTTCTCCCATTTCTCAAGCACCATTATTATTATTTCACATGCTTGCACTTCGTTACGCATGCATTCATGTATGCAATGTCAATGTAGTATCCTGTGATTTTGTAGACTGGCGCTACATAATCGCAAACAAAGAGCTTTACCAAATAACAAAAACCACATGACTTTGACACTTCCGACAAGAAAGACGACAGAAGCGGGTAGCACGTGTAACTAAAAAAGATGTAGGTTCGTTCATCTTCCGGTTACACTCTTCCCCAGTCTTTTGAACGGAAGTACATGGTGGTCCGAAAGTCTTGTCACCCTCTAATAAAAAGCAATAAGAGCAATAGAAGAACAAGTAATACCGTAATACAACGCACATGTACAAGATTCAGTTTATTCACATTCATTAACGTTGCCACACATCGAGAAGGTCTGCATGAACACCGTCATTTTCGTGTCAGCTATCTCAAGCAGTAAATTATATTATATAAGGGTGACAAGACTTTCGGACTATCCTGTAAATGTTTATCCCTTACTTCCTGTTTAGGAATGGGTATCCGGTCTCCTTCAAAAGTCTTATTATTCTCTTTCATTCCCAGTAAGCCTTTGTACCTTAGTGGAATCATCACCTTGCTTGGGGTGAAGTGATTAAAAAAATAAAAGTTAATAAAGATATAAACAAGATGTTAACATTCCACATTACCTTAAACGAAAATTTCAAAAGGAAACTACTATCAATGCTCGAAAGAGCTATAACATTACGTGGACTTGCAAAGGAGACGGCAAATTTCCAAAAATAACAAAAATGTCAAGGAAAAAATATTTAAATCAGAAAGTGCATTGGGATAGAGAAAGATGCCTTTCAAAAGCTAAGCAAAGTATTAAGAAACAATCAAAAAAAAATCGTTATGTAATATCAGTCCTCCTATATGGCAGTGAATGCTGGATAATTTCCGCATAGATTCTACGACGTGTTTCTATAAATGATTGCTGATAATAACGTCAGCTATTTGGTCAATAAATGCCGAATGTTTCCTGTATGGAAACAGTTATTTTTACCATTACTGGTAATAAAGCATATTTTTGCTTCGCTTCTTATTGCTTTTTCTTGATCTCTGATGCTTTCCGTATATTGTCACGACCTGAATGTCTTTTATGAAAGATTAAATAAAAAAATGTTCAATGCTGGCGATGAATTGATAGACGAAGGTGTTTGTTTTCTACCATCATATAAAAATCAACTGCTGATTGGGTTTTGCCTTTTTGGTTGACTCTGGTTAAAAACTTTGCATTTAAGTGAATTTCATATGTCAGAAAATAATTATCGTTAATATTATATCGCAAAACTCGATTGGTTGTTTTTTTTTTGTTGTTGCTTTGTTTTCTTTCTTTCTTTCTTTTCTCTCTCTCTCTCTCTCTCTCTCTCTCTCTCTCTCTCTCTGCGAAATTATTTAAGAAATAAAAGTTGTTAGTGATTTTCTGCAAGAGTAAAACGGACAGGAAAGGAAAAAGGAAAAGAACGACTGGGGAAAAAGATAAGGAAAAAAACCTTGAAGAAAATGATGAAGAAGAGAGAAAGAATGAAGAAAGTGAATAAAATAAACAGACAATAAATAAAGGTATAAATGAGAAATAGAATTTAAAAAATAATAGAAAATTAGGAAATAAGGAAGAATAAAGGAAATAAAAGAAAGAAAAAAAATGGGAAAGAGGACGAGAGAAGAAAAGAATATAAAAAAATACAAAGAAAGAAGGGAAAACAAAATATAAAAGAGGAAAGAAAAGAAACCGAAGGAGTACAAAAGAAAAGACATGAAGGAAGAAATAAAAGGAAAGGAAAAAAAACGAAGGGGGACAAAAAATTATAAAAGAAGGAAAAGAAATACAAAGGAGAAGAAAAGAAATGGAAAGAGAAAGAATATGAAAAAAATACGGAGGACAAGAAAAAAAAGGGAAAGAAAAGAAAGAAAGGAAAGAAAGAAATATAGAGGAGGACGAGAAAAGGAAAGAAAGGGAAAAATATACAGAGGGGGACAAGAAGAGAAAATAAGAAAAAAGCAATATATACGGAGGAAGAGGAGAAAAGAAAAGAAAGAAAGGAAAGAATGAAATATAGAGGAGGACGAGAAAAGAAAAGAAAGGGAAAAATATACAGAGGGGGACAAGAAGAGAAAATAAGAAAAAAGCAATATATACGGAGGAAGAGGAGAAAAGAAAAGAAAGGAAAGAAATATATATGGAGAGGGACAAGAAGAGAAAATAAGGGAAAAGAAATATATACGGGGGAAGAGGAGAAAAGAAAAGAAAGAAAGGAAAGAAAGAAATATAGAGGAGGACGAGAAAAGAAAAGAAAGGGAAAAATATACAGAGGGGGACAAGAAGAGAAAATAAGGAAAAAGAAATATATACGGAGGAAGAGGAGAAAAGAAAAGAAAGGAAAGAAATATATATGGAGAGGGACAAGAAGAGAAAATAAGGGAAAAGAAATATATACGGGGGAAGAGGAGAAAAGAAAAGAAAGAAAGGAAAGAAAGAAATCTAGTGGAGGACGAGAAAAGAAAAGAAAGGGAAAAATATACAGAGGGGGACAAGAAGAGAAAATAAGAAAAAAGCAATATATACGGAGGAAGAGGAGAAAAGAAAAGAAAGGAAAGAAATATATATGGAGAGGGACAAGAAGAGAAAAAATAAGGAAAAAAGAAATATATACGGGGAAGAGGAGAAAAGAAAAGAAAAGAAAGGAAAGAAAGAAATATAGAGGAGGACGAGAAAAGGAAAGAAAGGGAAAAATATACAGAGGGGGACAAGAAGAGAAAATAAGAAAAAAGCAATATATACGGAGGAAGAGGAGAAAAGAAAAGAAAGGAAAGAAATATATATGGAGAGGGACAAGAAGAGAAAATAAGGGAAAAAAAAATATACGGGGAAGAGGAGAAAGAAAAGAAAAAAGAAAGGAAAAAGAAAGAAATCTAGAGGAGGACGAGAAAAGAAAAAAAAAGGAAAAATATACAGAGGGGACAAGAAGAGAAAATAAGAAAAAAAGAAATATATACGGAGGAAGAGGAGAAAAGAAAAGAAAGGAAAGAAATATATATGGAGAGGGACAAGAAGAGAAAATAAGGGAAAAAAGAAATACGGGGGGAAGAGGAGAAAAGAAAAGAAAAAAGAAAGGAAAGAAAAAAAAATATAGAGGAGGACGAAAAAAAGAAAAGAAAGGAAAAATATACAGAGGGGGACAAGAAGAAAATAAGAAAAAAGCAATATATACGGAGGAAGAGGAGAAAAGAAAAGAAAGGAAAGAAATATATATGGAGAGGGACAAGAAGAGAAAATAAAGGGAAAAGAAATATATGGGGGGGAAGAGGAGAAAAGAAAAGAAAGAAAGGAAAGAAAGAAATATAGAGGAGGACGAAAAAAGGAAAGAAAGGGAAAAAAATATACAGAGGGGGACAAGAAGAGAAAATAAGAAAAAAGCAATATATACGGAGGAAGAGGAGAAAAGAAAAGAAAGGAAAGAAATATATATGGAGAGGGACAAGAAGAGAAAATAAGGGAAAAGAAATATATACGGGGGAAGAGGAGAAAAGAAAAGAAAGAAAGGAAAGAAAGAAATATAGAGGAGGACGAGAAAAGGAAAGAAAGGGAAAAATATACAGAGGGGGACAAGAAGAGAAAATAAGAAAAAAGCAATATATACGGAGGAAGAGGAGAAAAGTAAAGAAAGTAAAGAAATATATACGGAGGAGGCAAGCAGAGAAAGTGAGGGTAAAGAATTATATATGGAGGAGAACGACAAAAGAAAAGAATGAAAGGAAAGAAAGAAATAAAGAGTAGGACGAGAAAAGAAAGTCAAGAAATATACAGAGGGGGACAAGAAGAGAAAATAAGGGGAAAGAAATATATAAGGAGGAAGATGAGAAAAGAAAAGAAAGGAAAATAATATATACGGAGGGCGAGAAAAGAAAGAAAAAGAAATGAAGAAATACAGAGTAGGACGCGACAAGAAAAATATATGCTGAGGGGGCAAGAGAGAAAATAAGGGAAAAGAAATATATATGGAGGTGGACGACAAAAGAAAAGAAAGGAAAAACAGAATACGGGAGAAGGACGAGAAAAGAAAGAAGAAAAAGAAAAGAAAGAAGAAAAAGAAAAGAAAGAACAAGAAACATGCATCAGTGAATCAATGAGATTAGCAAAAATAAATAAATAAATAAAATACAAAATAGGGTATTGTTCACTGTCGTTTCCGGTTCTACCAGTAAATGATTCCTTTATTCTTTAAAATCATTCCATTATTCTTTTTAGTGATAAGGATTTCTCTCTCTTTCTCACTCTCTCTTTCTCCCTTGCTCTATATCTCTCTCTCATGCTCTCTCTTTCTCGCTCTCTAACTCTCTCTCTTACTCTCTCTTTTACTCTCCCTCTTGCTATCTCTCTCTTGCTCTCTCTCTTTTGCTCTCAACCTCTTGCTCTCTCTCTTGCACTCTCTTTCCCTTGCATTCTCTCTGTCTCCTGCTCTCTCTCTCTCTCTCTCTCTCTCTTTCTCTTTCCCTCTCCTTCTCTCGTGATAGATTTATTTGTTTATTTAGAATGCACCATTCGATTTTAATTTTCTTCAATTCAGGCATTGAATATTTTTCACCTCGCGAAAGAATTTATCTTTTTTTTTTCCCTCTCGTCATCTGTGATGACAAGAAAATAGCAATAATTAAATAAGGACCTCGTCAAAAAATAATCATGAAGAAATTAAGTCAATTGAAATAAGAATAAAAAAATCATTTGAACAAGATAGCAGCAAAGGAAAATAATAGAAAATAAACGATCTCTAAGGACATTAAATTTCATCCAAATGACAACAACAAAAATGAATGGTGAGGCCAATAAATAAACTCTGAATAGAAGTCGGTGTAAGACAAAGGTGTCTCTACTCACCGGACTTGTTCAACCTATACAGCGAGGCGATTCTGAGAGAATTAGAAGTCCTACTACGATTTATTATTAGTGGCTACAATATGAACAAGAGCAATTAAGAGATGCTTCCAGGCTTCTCAATACTCCCAATCTCCCGATCAGTGACCTTACTACAGGATGTAATTTATTGTTACATGCAGAACAGAATTGGGAAGGATATTAGAATAATCAACGACCTATACTGGCTATTTACATTATTCGGACTATTGTCCACATCTGTGTCCCCATATTTATTACAACGTTTCGGCCTTTCAGTATCTGTCTATATTTCTGAGATGAGGTATTATGGACACTATTCACATTATTCGGACTATTGTCCTTATCTTTGTCGCCATATTTATTACAACGTTTAGACCTTTCAGTATCTGTCTATATTTCTGAGATGAGGTATTATGTACACTCTTTACATTATTCGAACTATTGTCCTTATCTTTGTCGCCATATTTATTATAAAGTTTAGACCTTTCAGTATCTGTCTATATTTCTGAGATGAGGCATTATGTACACTATTTAAATTATTCGGACGACTATTGTCCTCATCTTTGTTGCCATATTTATTACAACGTTTCGGCCTTTCAGTATCTGTCTATATTTCTGAGATGAATTATTATGTACACTATTTACATTATTTGGACTATTGTCCACATCTGTGTCGCCATATTTATTACAAAGTTTCGGCCTTTCAGTATCTGTCTATATTTCTGAGATGAGGTATTATGTACACTATTTACATTATTCGAACTATTGTCCACATCTTTGTCACCATATTTATTACAACGTTTTGGCCGTTGTACGCTCCAGCCTTCTTCAGATGGTTGGAATGTCGAACTGAACTTTTTATTTCGCTCACTGGGGTAGACTCTTCTAGTTCCACGTGCCATGTTTTAATGGATGTCAGTTGTCAGTTATCTCCTGTTAATTCCCTTCTCCAAGTTCTCCACTGCCTATGCCGGGTATTGAACTCACACTCTTTGGGTCCTGTCACTGGATCTCACCAACGCTTTTAAACCACCTGCATATGCATAGAAAATCTGTGCAGCAAATAAACAAAATTAGAAATGGCTGTAAGAAAAAGATGTGTTTTCTCACCAGACCTATTCAACCAATGCAGCGAGTCGATTCTAACAAAAGTAGAAGTCCTACCGGGATTTATTATTAGTGGCCACCACAACATAAGATATACAGATGACATAGTGTTGATAACAGGCACAGAAAGAAATACAAGAACCCCTACAGAAGACAGAGAAGCAAAGTGAGAAGAAAGGACTAAACGTAAAGTGCAAGAAAACAGAATGCATACTATTTACATTATTTGGACTATTGTCCTCATCTTTGTCGCCATATTTATTACAACGTTTCGGCTGTTGTACGCTCCGGCCTGCTTCAGGTGGTTGGAATGTCGAATTGAACTTTTTATTTCGCTCATTGGGGTAGACTGTTCTAGTTACATGTGCCATGTCTAATAGATGTCAGTTATCAGTTATCTCTTGTTAATTCCCCTCTCCAAGTTCTCCACTGCCTTAACCGGGTATTGAACTCGCATTCTTTGGGTCTCGAGGACACATAGCACAGTGGATAAAGGCGTTGGTTAGATCTAACAAATATAAATTTTGCTGTAAACTATTTAAAACTATCAACAATTATTTAAAAATATATAAAATACAGAAATATATTATAATATTCTGT